GTGTGCTCTGACTGATCTTAAGTGCTTCAAGTCAAGTGATACAATGTGATATTTGGAAATGACCCTGTAGATTATCATATTGCTCAACTTACTTATTTTATGAGTGAGCAATTAATGCCCAGAGCTGTCTCACACAGATCTCATAGTGTCAAATGCTGACATACCCCAATTTTGTGAGCCATCTTGACTCACGGGATATAAACATGAAAGGATTTTTAGCCCCATTAACCAATACTAGTTATGCTCTGATGAAGACCCCACACCATTTTCCAGTCCATATCATCTTCCAGGCTGGGTAGCAGGCTCCCGAAGGTAATTTGCTTTGGTTCTATAGCTCTGTAGCCTCTTTCAGTTATTAAAAAAAGGTCACATTTTGGATGCTAAAACAATGCTAATCACTTAGCTTCAATCTCAGATTTGATTCACAGTCCTCTTTGTCTTCTCCCCAGCACAGCCTAACTCATGACTCTTGAAGTTTGAGAGGAAGGTGAAGACAACAGAGTTATTGACCCCTCCCCCCTTCACCCTTCCTCATCCTGTCATCTAATCCTCCTGTGATGTGGAGCCAGGGAGGAGGGAAAGGGAGAAGAAACTGTGTCTTATTCTGTACCCTGCTTTGATGAGGTTTCCATCTCTTTCCTGTGATGGTATATCCTTTCCAGCCTAACATGGGCCAGCAATCCCTTGAGTGTGGTTGACATCCAAATATTTCAGACCTCTTTTTTCTATTCACACTTGATTCCTTGCTGATCTCACCCAGTCTGGTGGCTTTTAGTAACTTTTATATGTTAAGAACTCCCAATATCCAACTGCCTAATCATTGTTTCTACTTGGATGGTCAGTTGGCATCCCACACTTAACCTGGCCACAAAACGTGCTCTTTCTTCCCCATCTCAGCCAATAGCAGCTTCATCTTTCCAATAACTCAGGCCAAAATTTGGAATCAAACTATTCCTTTCCTCCTCTTGAATCCCATATCCAATCTTCCCACAAATTCCATCATCTCTATCTTCAGAATTGTACCTGACATTTGCATTTGTCTATTTCCATTGCTGCCTCCCATCCAAGCCATCATTGGCTCTAGCCCAGATTATTGCAATGCTTTTCAAATGGATCTGCCTGGCTTTCCATAGTCTTTCTTAACACAGCAACCAGAGTGACCCTGTTAAAAACCTGTATCAAATCAATTTATGCCTCTGCTCAAAATCTGACAGAGGGTCCCTATTTCATCCAGAACGAAAGCCAGGAGCCTTACAATGGCCTGGCTGGCCTTGTATGATTAGCTTCATCTCCTATTCTAGTTTGGCCTCTTCTCCTGCTACATTCCTCCTTACTCACTCCGCACCAAACACCCTCATTCCCTGCTTATTCTTAACAAACACTCTAGGCACCTTTTTCAATTGAAGTATAATTAACATACTATAGAATATGTAAATCTTATGTGTCCAGTTCATAGGGTTTTGAGATATATATATATATATATATATATATATATATATCCATGTAACTACCACATGAATCAAGATCTAGAACATTTTTATCTTCTTAGAAAGTTTCCTCAGGTCCTTTTCCAGTTAATTCCTACCCATTCCCTTAAGTAACACTTAAATTTCTGTCACCATAGATTTAGTTTCACCTGTTCTTAGATTTAATATAAACAGAATCAAATAGTATATATTCTTTTGTGTCTGGATTCTTTGATTCAACACAATGTTTTTGAGATTCATTGTTGTTGTAGCACGTATTCATATCTCTTTCTTTTTAATTTATGAGTAGTATTCCATTGTATCTATTGTATGGATATACCACAATTTATTTACCCATTCTCCTCTTAGATACTAGGGATGTTTTCCATTGGGGCTAATATAAATAAAGCTGATATAAATAAAAGGACACAGTTTTTGTGTGGACATTTGTTTTTGCTTCTTTTAAGTGAATACCTAAGAGTGGGATTACTGGGTCATAGGTTAAATGTATATTTAACTTTATAAGGCAACTCTCACCTTCTGACCTTTGATTTTGCTGTTCCCTTTACCTAGAATGCTCTTCCTTCACTTCCTCAACTCTTTGCCAAAAGTCACCTTCTCAACAAACTCTACACTAACCATTCCCTCCCTATCTTCTACCCCTCCCTAACACTTTCACTAGCTCTAGTTTCTCCATAGCACCTTTCCCTTTTAGCATACCATGCAATTATAATGTATTATATTGATTGACTGTTTTCTTTGAAGACAAGGGATTTTTTTTGGTCTGTTTTACTTATTAATGTGTCACCATTGCCTAGCACAGAGCTTGATACTTAAATAGACACTCATATGTGGCACCTGGGTGGTCCAGTCTGTTAAGCGTCCAACTCTTGATTTCAGCTCAGGTTGTGATCTCACGGTTCATGAGTTTGGGCCCTGCATCAACTCTGCATGGACAGTGCAGAGTCTGCCTGGGATTTCTCTCTCTCCCTCTCTTTCTGCTCCTCCTCTGCTCACTCTCTTTTTCTTTCTGTCTGTCTCTCTCAGAATAAATAAATAAACTTAAAGATTTTTAAAAAATAATTGTTATATGGAAGGGAGAGAGAAAGGAAGGAAGGGAAGAGTCAGAAACAAGGGGACAATGTCTGAGGTGTCTCAAAATGCCAGGACATCTTTACTCTGTGACTTCTAAGGTCTCGGAAGCTGCTGAGACAATGCCAAATTCTTCCCAGTGAATTTCAGTACTCACTCCCATTCTATCTGAGCTATTTGTGGAATTCCCAACTTTTCTCTTCAACATGTGCATCGTATTCTCTTGTGTAAAAAGCCTCAATGTCGTCAGGTGGAGTTACTAAAATGTTTCACCCATCAGAAGTTAGTCGGCTTGACTTCCGCTTTCTGTGTCTGGATGTATCCATACAGGCCTCCTTCTTCCCCCTGTGCCCCAGTATATATCACCTGTTTGTGAGAGAGGTCTCAGATTTCCTTGCCCTCTCTTATGAGCAGAACCTAACCTCATCTCCACTCTATCCTCATTTTTCCCTGACCCAGAAGGCAATTATATACCCTACTTCCAGAATTCCTTCAGCTGAATAGATTCACGGCTTGTGTTTCTCTCCAGTGCATTCATTACATGGAAGTAGCTATTATTTACCATATTACCTGGCAGAAAACTCCAGAAAACTACATTTCTTTTGCCTTCTCAGTATAAGCCCTTGTAACAGTACTAGGATTTATTTATTTAGGCTTCTTCTTTTGAGAAAATAAAAAAGTGATGGTCATGTGTGAGGAAAGGAGATACATGGGAACTCCATACTTGATACTCAATTTTGCCATGAATCTAAAACTTTTCTAAAAAATAAAGTTTATTGATTGAAAGAAAGAAGTAATAGCTTTGCCTTAGAAATAACAGTGAATTTATGTGAGAATTACTCCCCATTCATTTTCTACTGGTCTAGTAAAGTGAATGTGAACTCACTCAGAATGTAAGCAAATTCTGTCATTAAGTAACTCAATATTTGTTACTATTACAATGTAACAAAGTGGCTTGTCTCAGAAATCACAGTGATTATCAGTGCCCATTTTGGTCAGGGTATAGCCAGGAAAACACAATTCACTTAAAGGATTTAAAACAGAGATACGTAATGCGGGAAGTTGTTTGCACAGGTGGTAAAGGAGCTGAGGTACCAAATGGAATAGTGGGAAGGAATCCATAGATTACTAATATTATGGACCCACTACTATCCTTAGACTGGAAAGATAAAGGGAAGAAGCAAAGTCTGATGTCCGGGCCACCAGGCAGAAGCCAGTTGCATGGCAGTGCTGTCAGACAAGAATTAGTTCCATGGAAAATGCATAGCCTTGCCAGAGATACCCACAAGAAAGAAAGGAACAGAGAGAAATGCCCCAGCATCTTCAATTTTCTCACCCTCCAATCTCCTGCAGGGCTTCCTGTTGGCCACCCTGACCCAGAAGCCAGCTGATGCATGAACCTGGGAAACAGCCCACAGAGATCAACCCAGTAAGGAGGGGAAGGGCAAGGAATAGATCTGAGGGCAGCAATCAGCTCTGGGCCAAAGCTAGAATAAACACATATTGCAGAAATTGGAAAATGTTCAAGAATTTCTGTCGGAGTGGATGATTCTCTATAGAGTGCTATCCTGGAACATTTCAAATTGCATGCATCAATATGAAGGGGCTTATGCTTCTTCAAAATGCCAAAAGCCCTGGCATTTTGAGAGAGAGACAGAGACAGAGAGACAGAGAAAGAGAGAGGAAGGAAGGAAGGAAGACTACCTAATGATGAAACATTATTAGAATAAATCAATATTCAAGGAGAACTTTCAAATGGAGGTCTTGTTGGATTCCATCACACAACAACACTATTCTTTTGGCCTTTCATGACATACAGATTGGTGGTAATGAGGCAAAAAAAAAAAAAAAAAAAAAAGGAGGTTGGATGTTTTCGTGTTATTTCTGGCTATTCCAGTTGTAGCAGAGGAAAACAAAAAAAGAAAGACTAGGTAATGATTCAAATCTTATCTTGACATTAATCTCAAAGGTTTGTATATTTTTAGGCAAATGAAACTAGCCAATAAAATTAGAAGATACAGTTTCTTTTTCATCTTTTTGACATTGTGATTTCAAAAATTAAAAAAAATATATGTCTGAAAAAAGATTATGGCCCTAAAGTCCAAGGATTCATGTACTTCTTAAGTCTGTATTTTTCTAGGCAGAATGATGTGACAGACTAACAATTAGACCATTGTTGTAGAAGGACTTTGATAACTTGGGAACAATAGAGAGTGCTCAGGATTTTGAGTTCCAAGACATGGGTCTGAGTACTCCTTGGAATACTCTCCTAGCTGTGCATCTTTGGACAAACAACTCGGCAACTCTGAGCCTCAGGTTATTTGAAATAAAATCATTGCAGGCATAGTATCACTCTATAAGGTCATTGCAACAACGTAACGAAACTGTTTGTGATCATTACTGCACAAATGTTAGCTATTGTTGTTTTCCTTTCTATTTCAGAGACCCAAGAATGAGCCTTCTTTTTATCAGATGAAAATACATGGCCACAAACATTATGCAGTCAGAAGCAACCTAAAATAGCCACTGTATAATTAACTCAGTCTTCAGAAGAGAAAACAATTATGGGACGAGAGAAGGAAAAACACAGACAATTTTCCATCCCTTCCCAGTTGCAGCAGCTGAAGGAAGACCCTCAAACTCACTTAGACACCCAGCTGTGTTAGTGAATCTTTACGGCCCTCAATATTCCAGATGTGTACTGCTCACCCGCGGCTGGTAAGCCACTAAACAAGCAAACTGATGATTTTCCATAAAAGCAGTGGACTAAATCATCAGAAGAAGGCTACCTGGACATGTTTTATCTTAAAGTGATAGCAAGAAGGGATGGGGAAAAATTAGTTTTGTAAATCCAAGTTTCTTGTAGTAGTTCTCTTATTTCAGTACCTCTTGGGAAGCAGTTTGTTCTAACCAAATCCCCAAGTTCTGGTTTCCCCTTCAGGGCTGTGTCTTCCCTCTCTAATTTAGAACCTGAGTATGATCGATTATAGCTCATTCACTCTCCTTCTCAAATGACACGTTTTTTTTCCCCCCCATAAACCACTTTCTCTTGTTTTCATAGTGCTACCTCCATTTTGGTTCCTTGGAGGAAGCTGGCAAAGAATTCATCACACGAGGAGTATTTAAAGACCCATAGTTGCATGTACTCTTACAGACACTGGGGATACATTAAGGAATAAACAAAGATCTCTGTCCTTGTGAGGGAGATGAACAGCAGATAAAAAAATGAAATGAAGAGACAAATTATATCATGCATTAAGTGACAACTGTTATAGATTGTAAAATGAACTGTGGGGGCACCTGGGTGGCTCCAGTTGTTTATGCATCTGACTTCAGCTCAGGTCATGATTTCACAGTTCGTGGATTTGAGCCCTGCATCCAGCTTGCTGCTGTCAGTGCAGAGCCTGCTATAGATTCTGTCTCCCTCTCTCTGTCCTTCTTCTGCAGTCTCTCTCTCAAGAAAAAGGACCCCACAAAGTAAAACAAAACAAACAAACAAACAGAACTGTAGAGCAGACTCAGCAGGATTAAGACTGCTGAGTTGGGGTTGGGGAGAGGAGTAGAAAGCTCTCCTCTGTCTTCTCAACAGTCAGTATTCAGCACAGTGAGGGTTCTGTGAAGACATTCATCCTTTCCTCTGGAACAGGGTTTCCTACTGGCAAGTAATAGCTTTGCTCCCTTCCCATACAGGCAAGCAAGTCATGGAATTTTGCATAGTCCTTTTGATTCTTTTAATTTCCAGATCTGATTTTGTGGAACGACATATTAGCATACCCTGGTTTCTATATCCATTATATTTCATTAGAACTAATTTGGCTTCTCTATCTCTAAGTACTCAATCTTTCCATCTTCCCTTCACAAATAGAATAATTACTGGTTCATGTCCTTTGACGTCAGAATAGTACAACCACTGTCAGATTTCTACCAGTTCAGTCCTAAAGCTTTCATTTGACTCCCTGGACCTCATATGAACTTCCACGGGGACAAACCTATCATAATAAAAGACATACTCTGGGCAAAGTAGTGAAGCAAGTGAAGGCTAGGAGGGAGCCCTCCACAACACACTTCTAAACCTCTTAACCCATTTATTTCCACACTCCCCTTCTTCTCTTCCCTTCCAATACAGTGTTCTGTTGGTGGCCTTGACCTGTGCATATCTCCACTACTCAAAGCTTACCCCCGGTGTGGCATTACTTTGAAGACTTTCCACATAAGAGATAAACCAATGGTTGGCAATAAATTAGTTCACACACGGTTACTTAATCCAAGTAAAGTGATTTTTACATTTATTTATTTATTTTAGAGAGAGAAAGGGAGAGCAGGGAAGGGCAGAGAGAGAGAGAATCCCAAACAGGCTCAGCACTGTCAGTGTAGAGCCCAATACAGGGCTAGAACTCATGAACCATGACATCATGACCTGAGCTGAAATCAGGAGTCAGATTCTTAACCGACTGAGTCACCCAGCACCCAGTGAAGTGACTTTAAAAAAAAATTTTTTTTTAACTTTTATTTTTGAGAGACAGAGAGACAGAGCATGAACATGGGAGGGGTAGAGAGAGAGGGAGACACAGAATCCCAAGCAGGCTCTAGGCTCCGAGCTGTCAGCCCAGAGCCCAACACAGGGCTCGAACTCATAGACTGTGAGGTCATAACCTGAGCTGAAGTCAGACACTCAACTGACTGAGCCACCTAGGTGCCCCTAAAGGGGGTGGACTGCTTCTGGCTTCATCTTATTCAGTATTATATCTATAGAGCTCAATAGATGTTAGTACTCAACATATGTTTGATGAATCAATGAATGAAAAACATTAATACAGGACAATGTAATCTGAAAGAAAAAAAAAACAATGTGAATTTTGTTTAAGTGGTTGAAATTGAGACCATATTTCTCCTATAACCTTCTGCTTTATTTCCTATATATGCATACTTTCATCTCACAGTGTTTCATGTGTCTGTTTGTCTGCCTCTCTCTTCCACTGGACTCTCAGCTCTGAGAGACTCTCTGTGTTTAGCTGTTTTATCTCCTGTCATTAACATCCAGGGTGGGAGAACATTTATTCCTCTCTTATTTTACCCATTTGCCAGAGAGGGGCAGGAACATCTACTTCCCTCCTCAGAAGAGAAAAATATGGAAGAACTGATGCTGGACGGGTCAGAGCTTGAGAGGGAGGGCCTCAGGACCATCACCAAGATAGTTCTTAGCTTTGTGTGAGAAAGAATTCAAGAGCAAGCCATTTAGAAAAAGGGACAAAGATTTATTAAGTATAGAAATAAGAAAAGGGATACTTTATAGACAAAGTAGCAGTCTCTCCTCCCAGATAAAGGGTTTTATAAGTTCTTTTAAAAACTGACTAATCATATAGGGAGGGGCTGACTGTATCTTTGGGTTTATCACTTACACTGGGCGGTTAGTTTTCCCATTGTCTTAGGGTTGTGCAATTACCCACAAGGAGCAATTTTAAGAATGTCCAGGCTTTATGACTTTTGCTGTGGGAGGAAGTAGGGTCTTGTGGTCTTCCATGAGTCAGATCTTGTGACTCTTCTTGTGACCTGCTGACTTTTAGATTAAGGGTCAGCCTAAGACCAAAATGACTTTTCTTTGGTCACCTTGTCTCCCAAGCCTTCCTTCTCTCCTGCCTCAGAGCTTCTAGTCTCTCTCTAAGCCCTCTTTCACTCCTCTCTGGGATGCTTACTTCATTGAAGAGAAACGTGGGAGAAGAAATTACACAGCCCCATCAACCTCCCCTTGGGGGCCAGCTTGCTCTTTCAGGGCTTGGGTGGGTAAATTGGCCTTGCTCAGGAATAAAGTCTTAGACGGCCTATTGCAGATGCCATCTTTAAACCACAGTGTATAGTCAGCCTCACCAACAAACCAGTTTTGCATCTATGTTGGATTCCTGCATGTATGCCTCAATCAGCTCTGAAAGCCACAGATAAGCAAGGGCCTGATATGCACTAAAAAATGAGTAAGCTTAATGAAAGAATGCTGTCAGGGATTTTGTGATGCTTGAATAGAAATGTGAAGAATGACCTAGATAGGCACAAGGCAATTCTAATGCTCAGGAAAATGGGGAGTCAGCTCTCGCTCAAAAGTCCAGGAGTCATTAATTTATTAGAACTCTAAAGAATAGGATCAGACTAGGGAGAGTGGAAAAATGTCTAACCTTGACTCTATTTCCTTATCTCCACTCTGAGCTGGGGCACATCCCAGCAATACCTGATATCTTTAGCCCTAGATATGTCCTTCTCGAAGGGTGATCTGTGGGATTCTGCCTGAGCAAGATAGTCTTTAGAAAAATAAAAAGTGAAAAAGGAAGAAAATAAAGCATTGTGACTAAGAGTATGGGTTCTGCAGCAAATTGCTTGGGTTCAGATCCCAGTAAAGCTACTTGCTCATTCTGACCTTAGCAAGTTTTTTGAGCACTTCGGGCCTCAGGACCATATTCCAGAAAGTAAAGACATATTGAATAGTTATATGGATTAAGTGAAATAATCTAGATAAAATATTTAGTGTAAATTACATTTAATAGAATAAATACATAGGAACCTGATGAATGCTCACTTCCTTAAAAACATTTCACAATTTTATTACCTCCTACTCTTAAGAGATTTGCAATGAATATATGTATGTTTGTGGGTCTGAAATACCCTGCACTAAAGAAACACATGAAGTTTGTTCAATACAGGTCTTCCTAAATATATTTCACCGTGAACTCTTTTTTTGGTGGGTTTTAAAGTTATTCTGAGCATCCATGCAAAACTTTAGGCAACACTGGCATAAGACTGCAAATATAGCTGATGGCCACCACCCCCCCCCCCGCCCCAGTGACCATGAAACCCTAACAAAAAGGACATTCATAAATACCCCCCATTTGGCCACTGAGTCATTTCTGAAGCTGAACGGTATAGCTTCCCTTCACCATCTGCCTTTTCATGACCAGTGCTGTGCACGGGCCTTAGTTAATTGAACATGCAAAGTGCCACCCGCAGGCAGTGATCTCAGTATACATTTTGACTCATCATCCAACAAAATCAGAGATGAAAGCAGCATCTAATGGCTGAGAATACATAAATAGCCATTTCCATTCACTTTCGATTACCCTGCAGAGGAATCTGGTCACAGATGAGCTCAGTAAATTCACAATATGTTATCCTCAATAGCCAAGCTGAGCGAAATCACCTAATTTGTTAGCACATTAATCTTCTAAAAGTGTGCCAACTCTAATCATTTTATGGCTTCAGATTGCTTAATGGTAAAGCTAAGAGGACCCCCAGGGATGCCCAGGTGTGACCTTCAGTTAGTCTAGTGCAGACAGTCTCCTCGTAACATGGATACAATATTGTGCTACCTCAGTCCCTGGATTACACTAGCGTGGCAGGTGCTCCGAACTCCCATGTCCACGATGTGCCTTTCTCCAAGTTATCTTGGAAAAACGTCCAGTCTTTTGACAGCAAGTGTCAAAATTTATTTATTTCTGAATCCCCAGTGATAGGCATAATATCAGACACTTAGAGGTCACTTGACATGTATCTATTAAATAAAAGATAAAAATAATTGATTGACAGTTAACCTTCAGCAAAGAAGAAAATAGAGAGAAAGAAATGGAGAAAGGCTTTTTTTTTTTTTTTTTTACACTTCTCAATCTGAAGGTGGAGGTGAAAGCTCTCTTTGCTTGATTCTATCTGTGAGGAATAGTTCTGAAATGCTGATAACTTCAGAGTACAACTGGTAGAATAATGTAACAATTAAAAGCACAGACTCTGCACCATGCTATATGGGATTTAATCTTGGATCTGTCTCTTAAAGCTGTGTGACTTTAGACAAATTAGTTAGCCTCTATGTATCTTAGTTACT